TAAACGCCGGATTTACATGCGTCGACGATTAATTTTTATCAAAGAATGTCTATGAATCCAAATGTGTATGTTTTGTAACATAAGGTTCAAGATTAGAAAAGAGCTAAATACTCAAACCAGTTCAGTATTTTCTTACATTAAAATAACGCACGGGATAATAAGTTGTCTTCTATTTTGGTTGGAGTTTTGCATAGGAGTCCGTGTTTTCTAGACAGACAAATTGCTTGGATACGCATGAAACCTTTTCTCAAGGAGTCATAACATTAAGCAGAGCGACGAAATCAAGCAATTCTTTTGCAATTTAAAGAGAGTTTTTGCTTTTTATTGGTTTGAAAGTGTTACGATCGAGATTTGGTTGGACTCTAACACAGGGAAGTTAAAGACGGTCACTGATATTCAGTTCTTGTGAATTGTCAACCGCGGAACGCGAAACACCTCAAAATATCACACATAGGTAATTTGCTTGACTTATTTTCCCCATTAATGTCAAGTCAGCACAAAAACAGCTTGTTTTTACTTTACTGTCGAGTAACAATGAAGTGGCTTCATGGCGGTCAGAAATAAACCATTTGCGAGTTCCACTGTAGTGGTCTTATAGAAAGGACATTGAACTTCATTAATTGACTGAAAGCAGGTGGAAGGTTAAAAGCGGCCATAATGCAAACTATAACACGGAAACTGCAATCAGATTACCATGCCATTTTCTGGTTCAAACATTTTTTTAACTGGGTCATCACTGTGGAGTCTAAAGGAATCAAGCAATGCCCTTGAACTTCAAAGACAATTTTGGTTTATAATTACCTTGTAAGTGTTGCATGGTAAGCTTGTAAGTTGTCAGTTGCATGGTGATTTCGTCACTAAACACAAGATTCCCTTGCGTGCTTATAGCCCGTTTACATTTGTCCTTAGCGAGAATGTATTTCGTCAAGGTATGGTTGTTCTATAAAATCCAGTTTGTGTTTCACTTTCAGTAATGCTTCATGTTCGTAAGAGCGACCTAAGTGTCGCAGTTTTCGAGACTTGATGACCTCCGCACGTAGGTACTCTTGTGGCGTCTTCTTTAAGCGGCTCATTGTTCTAAAATTTGATCCTTTCGCGGAAGGGAGCTTCTATTTAACGTTTAGTCCATCAACTCAATGGATATGAAGCTTTTTTTGAGTCAGTTTTGTCCATACTTTGACTGTGATTATAAAGATCTCAACCAAAACACTGGCCTGGATCGACTGAAAATCGTAGAATTGTTTGGACTTACATTTTTGAAGGTGTGGGGAGCAAGGCGGAAGGAAGCATTTCACACAATTACCGATTTCACGTTGTCACACG